CATGGTGGTGAGCCAATTATTCCCTTCAGCTGTGTCTTAGAAAGGAATCTTGCTGATATGCCTCCAGATGAAGCAGCTAAGTATTGTGAGGAGAACAAGGTTCAAAGGTTTGTTGAAAAGTTTTACTTGTCTTCTCATTGTTAAACAAAACTAGTCACATTTTCCTTGCATTTATACAGGGTTTGAGTATCAGCTGCGCTGTTCATGGCTTATGAATAGTGTGACTTGTCATAGATTTGTATTTGATTATTTTAATATATTGATGTGCAAGAATTATCATGCATATAGTTAATCATTTGGGAATAAATGTGAAAATATAGTGCTTTATTTTTTTTAAAAAAAGAAATCTCTGTGTATCTCTTGAACTTATATTTATTTATTTTTATAGAATGATTTTGTCAGCCTTATAAACTGCATAGATTTTGTCAGAGTGAGACTTGATGCTGACATCATTTGAAAACAATGGAAAGAGCGACATTGTGATCTTGAGTCTTTATTTGGACAGCCAGACCAAGAGCTTATTCTGATTGTTATAAAGAGTTGACGTCTAGTCTTTATGCTACTAAATACTAATCTAGTACATTTCTCTGTTGTAACAGCGCCCTCCCCAAAATCATAAAGACCGGATTTTCTGCGATTAATCTTATTTACTTTTTCACAGCAGGACCTGATGAGGTAACATATGTTCTTTGATACTTTGAGATATTACTTCCGTGATATTTACCTATCTTTTTCTCTTTTTTTTTTGAACTATAGTTCTGATAATTTCTGTGTCCATCGGTGTTGACAATAAACCATACATCTTAAGTAGCTGTTTTACAGTTTTCATAATATAACCATCTGATTAATCTCCTGTTATGCATAACATGCTCATTAAATTTGTAGCATTAGATATTTGTTTGCTCTTTGCCAATGTGATGTGTGGGGCTCATTATAAATTACTCCATCTTGTCTCAAATATAATCACCAACACCTACCACATAGATGTTAAGAAAATTAGTTAAAAGGTCGTTATTTTTGGGACCTACAAAACTCTTTAACAAGTGATGCATTTGAGACTGGAGAGAGCGTTATATTATATATAAGCAATATGTACTCCCATTTTGCATGCACTTAAATTTCTACTTGACATAAACCAATGATCTTTTTTTTTTTTCCTTTTGGAATAATTTGCCTTCTCAGGTTAAGTGTTGGCAGATTAGACGGCAAACAAAGGCTCCTCAAGCTGCAGGGGCTATCCATACCGATTTTGAGAGGGGATTTATTTGTGCTGAGGTTATTTTTAGTTCATTATTATTTTGAACTCTTTTTTTTCCCCTTCCAAATTCTGATAATTCTTTCTTCCCAATCCCAACGGCTTGAAGCACGTGTTCAGGATTTTAACGGAGAACAGCCCACCAGGGGTTAATTAAAAAGAAAAAAGAATTTGCTGTAGTATAGCAGAGACATAGAAGGGGGGAATCATCTGTTGTTGCCACGATGACCTCTGTTTTTCTTTGGCTGAGAACTTTGTTCTTGCAGTGATTTTCCTATTGTAATTCTGTTTCATTCTTAATAGTCTTGTGGGTTTTGTCGATTTTCAGGTGATGAAGTTTGATGATCTAAAGGAACTTGGTAGTGAGGTGGCTGTAAAGGTGGGTGCTTAATTTGAACATGTAATTCACTGTGATGCAAACAACGTATGAGCATGCCTGAGCTTTTCTTTTGCGTGGCCGTTTTATTTTTTTCTTATTAGGCTGCTGGGAAGTATAAACAGGAGGGAAAAACCTATGTTGTCCAAGATGGAGACATCATATTCTTCAAGTTCAATGTCTCTGGTGGGGGAAAGAAGTGAAAGCAAGCAATCCATTTGTAGCAGCAGCTGGCTGTTTTGCTTTATTACCTGACAAGCCTCCCATTCTTGGCAGTTTGAGAGCTTGAGTTGTAATTTGGGAGAACATGTTGAACATTAATCGAGGTTAAGTATTTATAGGGGATATTGGTATTTTGCCCGGTTTGTTTGTTAGCCATATCGAGAGCTGTTATCTGCTCCACCGACACCACGCTGCTTTCTGCTTAAGGCGTTCTTCTTGGTGAGATTTTTGTTAAACTTAAAGAAAGAATAACAGCTTTATTAAAACAAAAAATAGGGCGCCACCCTTGGGTTGTTGGAGTTTTTGTGTGGCTTTGGTATCTCATCTTTGCTGTCATCAAAGCAAGCCTTCATGTTCACCAAAGGAAAAAAAAAGCAAGCCTTCGTAACCTTATGGAGTCTACATGTATTGTTGCGGTGTAGATGTGGGCTGCAATGTTTGTACTTGGGCAATTCGATTGGAAATGGAAATACGCAGATGTATTAGCCAGAACAATTCAATTTTTAATATTATCTCCGCTTTTTAATATAAGAGTTGATTTACTAGTTTGAGTATATTTAAAAAATTAGTTAAATTAGTTATTTGAAATAAATGTATTATTTTATTTAGAATATCTTTACTAATTAAGTATTATTTGATTAAATATTTAACATGTGTAATTACTACAAGAATTATTTTGAAAAAAATAAATAAAGATGAGAGATAAGGTGGATTAAATTAAAAGTTAAATTGGTTCTTATATTGAGGATTGGAAGTAGTGAATTATTGGGAGACGATATTTTTTTTGTTTAGTCATTGGGCTAATGTTATGTTTATTAATACATTTTGCGAGGTTTACAAACACGGTTTGAGAAGAACACAATATTACACTATGTCATATTTTTCAATTAAATGATATTTTCATTAATTTTTCAGCCAATTTAACAATAACTTCATGATAATTAAATTGTTTTAATCTAAGTTTTGAATTTAAAAATTTAATTTTCTATTTTTTCCTTAGTCACAGGGAAGGAACGAAGCTGTCATGTAATGCAATTTTTTTTTCTTTTTTCTTTTGGTTATAACTCGTAGAAGACGTTTGGTTTTATGAAGCTACAAGATACGGATAAATGTAATTTAACTTGGTATGATACGTTGGACGCAAAATTTTAAAAATTCCATGATACAAATGATACACGTGTGTATGCATGCATAAGCATACTTGCAAATGCATGTCTTAAATTATTTAAAAATATATTTTTGTTAGAATTTGAAGATAAGGGCAAAGTTGACAGGTACATGTACCTAACTAAGCGTACATCTTTTTAATTCTTCTTTGTGTGTTACTGGATGGGAGCGATAACATTAATAGACATTTTTGTGATTAATGTGATGATCATGTTTGGGTGTTGGATGCTGTTAGAACTTAGAATGGGGTTGTGTCGTTTTGGGTGGACCCCTTATATATGATGCTGTCATTAGATAACAGGACAGTGGGGCCCACGGATCATCCCCTCTCCATCATCTCGCACCTACTCCCCCCTCACCTCCTGTCTCTTCTAATAATTCAAACCCGTCAAATCAATACCTATCTGGTTTTATTTATAAGATATTTTTACTACTACCTTTTTGTTGGGTCCTAATTATAAGACCTCAATCCATTTTGTCTTTCATATTTATGCATTTTTTCCCAAGACAGTCCTTCTAATAATCATAGTTCTAGCCAATACACTTAATTAACAAGGATATTTTAGGAATGACAACACTTATTTATTACAAATAACTAACTTAACTTACTTCTTTAATCTTCTCAAATAAGTCAACTGGGTCTTATAATTAGGACCGAAGGTAGTATATTTTACACCGATAAAAAAAAATCTTAAAACGTATTAACCTTTTATTAAAATATAATAATTTTTTAATTTTATCTATATTTAATATATACATATTTCAAAAAAGATAACTACTTATATTATAATAAATGAAAGACAAAATAATACATTCAAGATAAAAATTTAATAAATTGATTTATAAATAAGATAAAAAAAGCTTTTCTTTCCATTCTATAAACAGGATTAGAAAAGTATATTCATATCTCATTAACATCAAAATATAGTCAGTCGAGTTAATATAAAAGGCTTACTCCCATTTTTAAGCTTCTAAATTAGATTTTTAAATTATCAATAAATGATAATAAGTGTCATTCCACTGAAAGATCCCATTATTTGGACTTTAATATTTTTTTCATTGGATTAAGACTACTTAACTTTTCTTACTTACAGTTCTAGTGATGTTTTTAAATATATGTCCAGATCATTTCAATTGATTTTTTAAAGTATTTTTTACTGATGTCACATCCATTTTTTTCACATGTAATAGTCGGCATATGAGCATATATGTATATAATAGAATTTAGGAGAAATTGCAGCAAAGTTCTAGATTTTGTTCAAAGTCCAAACTGAAAACCCTAGTCCACGGGGTAGTGGTGGGTCCTCGTTCCTATCCGCTGCTGATAGCACGACTTCCCACGCATGTGCTTTGCCGGTTTGCAACTTATAAAACCCAAAATCTTTAACTTCATTTCATAAACTTTTTTCACGTCCACTAGGTAAAGCTGGAGATTCTCTGCCTTCTTGGCGGGTAAAAACCCCTACTTTGCTCCTAGAATCGCAGCAAAAATGAAAAAACCCTAACATTTTCCCGCTTTTCCGATTGCCGCTCCCTGACAAAAAACCCCTCAAAAGGATGAAATGAATGGCAACTTTTGTTAATAAACATTTAAAAATGAAAAAGGTAACATTTTTAATAAACTTTTCAAAATCTAATCTAAATAAGTGTTAAGGGTCCTCACATGTCACATGCCTTTTATAATACATGAGTAGAAAGGGAACAAAGGTGTCTCTTCAAAAGTTTTATGCTTTTGTCGTCAGTTGTCACCACCATTAAAGCTCAATTCTGGGGGTTCTTTTTTTGTCACTTGTTTTCTGGGTCAAAAAATGTCAACATTTTCGTCAAAACCTCGAAGAAAAAAACTTTACGGGTCCCTTCACTCCCACTCTCCCTCTTTTTTCTTTTTCCTTATTTTTTTCCCCGGTGACTGGTCCCTGCCCTTTACTGCTCTTAAATGTGTCTTATTGGAACTATTTCCCCCTTTCTTTCTTGACGAGTTCGCTGTAGCTACAATGCTGGTCTCTACTTCAGTTCTGGAACTGCACAAGCTTTACCGAGTTCTCCCTTTTGCTTCCTAAGTTTTGATGTTTGAGTGGTCATTTCAAGTTCATCCTGATTCCGCATTGTGCCAAGGAAGTGATTTTGGTAAGAAATTTTGCGTTTTGTTTCTGTCGATGTTTAAAATACCCCTCCTTTTTATTGTTCATTCTAGACCACTCCTTTTTAGTGTTCATTCTAGGTCATTAATGTTTAATCGTACTTCCCGCGTCTAGTGATTGTTTCTGCAATAGTTTTACTCTACATGCATCCTTTGCTTGGAACCTTTGGTTCTATATAGATATAATGTAATGTTGCTGACCAGGAGAAGCATTTGGATTTCATTACTTACATCGTGTCTGGGTTTTTCATTTCATTACTAATATCTTCTTTTCATTCCTAGGAAGCAGCTCATGTTCGTGAAGAGAAGGTCTTGGTTTCTTTTGTTTCGACTGTAAAGAAGTGTTTGACTTAGTGTGTGGATTTGAGCTCCACGGCTCATTAATCTTCTTTTACGAGGTTGAGATTGCTTCTATAACCATTGGCGCTTCCTCATTATCGTGGAAGAAGGTACCCTGGCATCTAATTTGTTCAGGGAGATAGTGGGTCTTGAAGCAAGATATCTGTTTGAACAAGAACCTTGAACTATATCTAAGTTGGCATTACGTCATTTATTGGAGAAAATGAAGCTCTTTAGTCTTTTGGTTTTATCCTTATCTTTCTTCTCTGTCATGGGACAGCTTCCTTCGCAGGACATCTTAGCATTGTTGGAATTTAAGAAAGGCATCAAGCATGACCCTACTGGTTATGTCCTCAATTCCTGGAATGAAGAATCCATTGACTTTAATGGATGCCCATCTTCATGGAATGGAGTTCTGTGTAATGGTGGTAATGTTGCTGGGGTTGTCCTAGATAGCCTGGGTCTCTCTGCTGAGGCAGACTTGAGTGTTTTTTCAAACCTCACAAAGCTTGTCAGGCTTTCTTTGTCCAACAATTCCATATCAGGAAGACTCCCTGACAACATAGCAGACTTCAGAAGTCTTCAATTTCTAGATGTGTCCAATAACCTTTTCTCTTCATCCATACCACAGGGAATCGGTAAGCTAGCTAGCTTACTGAACTTGTCATTGGCAGGGAACAATTTCTCTGGTCCAATTCCTGTCTCAATTGCGGGGATGTCATCAATCCAATCTTTGGACTTGAGCCGTAACTCCTTTTCTGGAACACTGCCAGCTTCTTTGACTAAGCTGAATAGCCTGGTATCTCTCAATTTGTCTCATAACAGCTTCACTGGAAAGATTCCCAAAGGTTTTGATCTGATGTCTGCTCTTGAAAAGGTTGACTTGCACGGAAATATGCTTGATGATCAACTAGATATTAAGTTTATGCTTTTAACAAGTGCCAGTTATGTTGATTTTAGTGATAACATGTTAGTGAGTTCTAACTCCCGGCAGCAGAGGTTTCTACCCCGAATCTCTGAAAGTATCAAGTATTTGAATTTAAGCCACAACCAGCTGATTGGATTGTTAGATAGTGAAGGTGAGCAGCCACTTTTTGAAGACCTGAAGGTGTTGGATCTTAGCTACAATCAATTGTCAGGAGAACTGCCTGAATTTGAATTTGTCTATGATCTCCAAGTCCTCAGGCTTAGCAACAACAGATTTTCAGGATTTCTTCCAACTGGCCTGCTCAAGGGAGACCCTTTGGTTATAACCGAACTTGATTTGAGTGCCAACAACCTCTCAGGTAGATAGACAAGTTCTACTTGTTCCTTCATTTTAAATAATTAATCTATGATATTTTACTTTCAAAACTGGTGGCCACTGCCATCTTTGGAGAGTCCATTGCTAGGATTGCCACTCATCTCATTGAAATTTTGTCACAGGGTCAATAGGGTTGATCACATCAACAACATTGCGCTCTTTGAATCTCTCATCAAATGGTTTCACTGGTGAGCTGCCACTTCTAACAGGGAGCTGTGCGGTTCTTGATCTTTCAAATAACAAACTAGAAGGGAATCTATCCAGGATGGTAAAATGGGGAAATATAGAATTTCTTGATCTCAGTAGAAATCATTTGACAGGGCCCATTCCTGAGGAAACTCCTCAGTTTTTACGATTGAATTATCTGAACTTCTCCCATAATGATCTTAGCGGCTTCCTCCCCAGAGTCTTAATGCAGTATCCGAAGCTAAGAGTGCTCGATGTTAGTTCCAACGAGTTAGATGGACAGCTTCCTGATAAGCTGCTTGCTATGACAACTTTGCAAGAGCTTCATCTTGAAAATAATTTCATTTCAGGTGGCATTAATTTATCATCTTCCCCTGGTGAATCTGATCTTCAGATTCTTGATCTTTCTCACAACCAATTTAACGGGTACTTTCCTGAAATTTTTGGATCATTAACTGGCCTGAAAGTACTCAATATTGCTGGAAATAATTTTTCTGGTTCTCTTCCAACTGCCATTGGTATGAGTTCATTAGATTCGTTGGATATATCAGATAATCATTTTACAGGTCCATTACCAACTGACCTGCCAAAGGGACTAGAAAACTTTAATGCTTCATACAATGATCTGTCTGGTATTGTCCCAGAAAATCTTAGGAAGTTCCCCAGTTCTTCTTTCTATCCTGGGAATGCTAGGTTACGTTACCCAAATGGTCCTCCTGGATCAACCAATATGCCTGCTGAAGGTTCAAAGAAGAAGCCTATGAGCACTATCATTAAAGTAATAATTATAGTATCATCTGTGGTTGCGCTATTCATAGTAATCCTGCTTGCAATCTTCATACATTACGTACGCATTTCAAGATCTCCACCAGAATATGCTGCTAGTAAGGACATACATGGGCGTGCTCAACAAAACTTACCTGGCACAGGCCGTGCAACAGATAGGGGTGGTGCTTTGGTTGTATCAGCTGAGGATCTTGTGACCTCAAGGAAAGGATCGTCTTCAGAGATAATCAGCCCAGATGAAAAATTGGCAGCCACTGCTATGTCCCCATCAAAAAACAGCCACTTCTCCTGGTCACCAGGGTCTGGTGATTCATTCACTGCTGAAAATTTTGCAAGACTTGATGTGAGATCACCTGATAAGTTAATAGGCGAGCTGCATTTTCTTGATGATGCAATAACGTTGACCCCCGAGGAGCTGTCAAGGGCCCCTGCTGAGGTTTTGGGGAGAAGCAGTCATGGAACTTCTTATAAGGCTACTCTAGAGAATGGCTTGTTGCTGAGAGTGAAGTGGTTGAGAGAAGGAGTGGCTAAACAGAGGAAAGAATTTGCTAAAGAGGCTAAAAAGTTTTCAAACATCAGGCATCCAAATGTTGTGGGACTGAGAGGATATTATTGGGGTCCTACGCAGCATGAGAAGCTTATTCTTTCAGACTACATTTCTCCTGGAAGTCTTGCAACTTTTCTTTATGGTAATGTTAATGCTCCTTCCTTGGCAATGTAATTAGACCCATGCATATGAAAGTAAACAGTTTAGGAAACTTGGGTAGGGAACAGATAAGATCCTTTAAAGGCTAGGAAAGTGATAATTTGGTAGACTAAAACTAGTTGATATTGGTCATAATTGGCCGTGGACATGATACCTATTAACACATGGCTTGCACTGTAACATTGTGTCCTGAACGGAATTCACTATAAGAATGCATATAACAAATAAAATCACTGTTCTTCAATTTTGAAACAAATTCCACTGAAATTGTGAAAGCTTCATCTGTACTAGCTGAGCAAGATTTGCCAAATATGATGTCTCAGCTCATTAGCAATTGAAAGGAGCTTGCTAATTTACGAGCAAATTTTATGTGTTGCTTGTGCCTTTGTACGTTCATATGTTAGTTCTTTTTTGCACGTCCGTTTTGCTGGTCTAGAAATTCACTTTTCCATCAAATATCATCCATCTTATTCTTAGCGTATAATTGGTCTTCATCATTCATCATTATTTTAACTCACTCTACATAAATATTATGATACTAGATCGACCAGGAAGAAAAGGCCCACCGTTAACCTGGGCCCAGAGACTGAAGATAGCAGTTGATGTAGCACGTGGCCTGAACTATCTCCACTTTGATCGCGCCGTTCCTCATGGGAACCTCAAGGCAACAAATGTGCTGTTAGATACACCCGATTTGAATGCAAGAGTTGCTGATTATTGCCTTCATCGGCTTATGACTCAGGCAGGTACTACCGAACAGATTCTTGATGCTGGGGTTTTGGGATATCGTGCGCCAGAGTTAGCTGCTTCCAAAAAACCAACACCCTCCTTTAAATCAGATGTTTATGCTTTTGGAGTGATACTCTTGGAACTTTTAACTGGAAGATGCGCTGGTGATGTGATATCTGGTGAGGATGGAGGTGTTGATATGACTGATTGGGTGAGGTTGCGGATGGCAGAAGGTCGAGGATCAGAATGTTTTGATGCTGCGTTGATGCCAGAAATGGGAAATCCAACTGCAGAAAAGGGGATGAAGGATTTCCTAGGAATAGCCCTAAGATGCATTCGGTCTGTTTCTGAGAGGCCAGGTATCAAGACAATATATGAAGACCTTTCATCTATATAGCATGCCCATCCTAACTACATAGGTTTTGACATGTGGGAATTAATATCTCATTGGTGTCCCATTTGAACTAGAGTCTAGCTTCTCAACATTGTTAGTTTGTGGGGTCAACTCTTGTGTAAAATTTGAGAATGCAAATATCTGTTTGCCGCATCATGGGTTATTGTCTTTTGTCTATCATTGAAGATATGCATGCCATGACTATGATCAATTGTTTACACTTTGCGATTTCGATGAACAAACAATTGGTTAATACAAAAGGAGAATCTGAGGTTGCATGGATCCAAGCTAAATCCATTATCATCCCCTTTCTTCAATTCCCCTTCACAAAATTTGGGATCCGCCTTCCAGTGAGAGTGAAGATTTAGGTAGTTTGGCTTGTTTTTATCTGACATTCTAGATTTATTTACATATCTTAGGGAATGTACTTGGCTCTCACTTTGCTGTTATGCCCATGTATTGGTAAGTCCATCTTCAAGTTAGGCCATTTAGCTCCATCAGGCAACTGTACATCTACAAAATGTTTACTTTGGGGTGTTTGGAATCAATTGGTGGCTGCTCCGGCATCAGCCTTTGAACCTTGGACGCAGTTGTCGAATTATGAATGTTCCACCATGGAGACCAACCTTGCCAAGTTTAGTCGGATATTTTGTATAGATGGAATCCCACGGCTTTGAAAATTTTAGTTTACAAAAAACTTGAACCAGAATCAATAGAAATTTCAAACATTGATAAATGATGACAATTTGAAAAATTTACATTTATAATATGTTGTCTATAAAATTTATATTTCTTGTGTAATCTGAAGACATGCAAGCGCACTCACGCCCACGTATTTCTACGATGTATCACCGCTGGGGATGAAGATGCCATCTTATCACAGTCAACGTGATAGCTTAAGATGCTACCATGGTAATTCGACATTACCAGATTGTTTGAAGAGTGAGTTTTTGTTCACAAGGAAAGCCGTATAAGGTTGCAGATTCTACTATGTTAATGTCGGCTACAAAAATTTGAGTTTCATGCGTATAATATACTAATATGTAAGCAATGCGTAGCTACCCAACAGTCAAAGGAACCAAGCCTTTCTTTTATGATATCAAATTCTCTTTCAAACAGAACTTGGAACATGTCAACATATTTCGTTGCCCTGTAAGATCAATAATACTTCTGTTATGTGTGTGGGAAAAAGGAAAAACAAGCACTGCTTACCGTGAAACAAGCGATTTATAGATGGCTCCCATAGATTTTCCCCATGGAGAAGTGACGAACACCAGAAACAATACTGCGAAAAGGAAGGTGTGTGTTATGAGTCCCATAACAGAGAATCTCACAAGTACTGTGAGATTTATAAATTCAAGGGGTTCTCTCTCTTAATATGTTAGTTTTTTTGGGATTGGACTCTCTCTTTGAGTTTATGTTCATCACATTAGTGTCTTTTGGAATTGAGCTCTCCTTTTAGGCTTATGCTCATCACATTGATGCTTTTATTGAGAGCCGACCAACCGAAAAAAATTACTTGTGGAGGGTTCTGATAAGTAAGAAGATGAAATGAAGTGCTATAGAGTGGAGCGTTAGGGACGTCAACTTTCGAGAGGGATACTTTGCTATGAGTTCCACATTGGAGAATCTCTCAAGTATTGTGGAGTTTATAAGTACAAGGAGCTCTCTCTCCTAATAGACTAGTCTTTTAGGATTGGACTATTTCCTTAAACTTATACTCATCAAGGTCTGCGGTTATAATTTTACCTTTGTCTTCAAGTAATTACAGTGTGTAAGATCTTTCGATGCCATTGGAAATTTCTCATCTGGATCAGGACCAAGCAGGATTGGAGAGAGAGGCTTCCAAAGCTGCTTCTTCTCAGACTTAGACCCAACAGTTTAGATGGGATCCTCACTTGTACTACTGTACTATAGGCCATCTTGCTGACCTTCTCAGCCTCAGATAACTTAAGTCTTCTCCCTAATCAAAACTATCCAATGATTAGGATTAGAAAAGTAGAGTAAGAGGAGGACAAGGAAAAGAAAAGACTCTCCCCCGTAGTCTTATAAATCCGTTCAACCTTTAACAGGTCATGCCAATTATTTTTTTGCAGGTTCTGTGATTGAAGGCTGTGCAATTCACAAATTAGGCATTTATTATCAAGCAAAGCCAAACTAGAACTATTACTGTCATTAGTATTTTCTATTTATTATGAGATATAATGTTCATTTTAATTATCTTTGCATATATTAGCCTGTGCTATGACTATAAAAGCTATTTTCTAATTACATAAGGCCGATCTAAAGGTTGAAGTAACTAGTGAGATAAAACCTACAATCTCTCATCAACAAATGAGTTTTACATCGTTAAATTATAAGGTCTCGGCATTATAACCATAAAGGTCCTGGATGCTTTAAAATTCAATTTTCAAGTTTTGAAAGAGCCGCAATTGCATCATAAGTTAATTTTACCCCCTGTTCTTAATTAAGAGCTAGTTAGAGGATTAGATTTGTTCTTACATATAAAAGTTTAATTCATTTTGTTTTTCAAATTTATAATTTTTTTCTAAAATATTTCTATTTGACTGTAAAAGGTTCCTATCAATAGATAATCCCAATGCACATTATTAAATAGAGCATTTTAAAGAAAGCAATATACATTTGTCAGGAACAATCAACTAAACTAATTTTTTTAATTTTTTTAAAATTAACCATCTAACTCTTACATTAAGAATTAAATTTTCAAACTCTTTCTTCACATTTTGTAATGTCAATAACACCACGAGTATTTGATAGATTGATTGTCGCCTACGCGCGCACACATACGATAAATCTCGCGTCCAAGTCATCGTGGGCGTTGGTTTCAAAGACAGTTTTAATGTTCGCAACTATATGAACAGTACTCAACTTTATTGTTGGCTCTAGCTCAAGTTGTGGCACATGCCATCTATTTATTTGCCAACCGTTTCTTTTAATATTCTCTCTTATTTCATATCCAGACAGTTAATTTCACATCATCTCTCTATTAAAAGTTTTTTTTTCCATCTCTTTAATATTTTTCTTAAGTCCTCTCTTATAACGCATCTCATCTCAAAACTTATGAACAACTGATCCCTTTTCCATTGACCTGCTTAGGAAATGGACTTGGCCGAGTGGTTCTCACTTGTAATGTGGACAGTTTTGTAAATTATAGAAAGCAATTAAAGAAGGCACCGGGACGCGACAAATCATTATTAAAAAGCGACGCATCATGTTTAATACTTAAAAGTTACTATAACATTAATTACAAGCCTGGTCATTGAACCCAAAAAAAAATCTAAAGACTACAACATGAATTAACTTATTTTCAGTTTTCCACAAAGCATAATTATTATTATTATTTTGGGGATGTATACTATTGGGGACAAATACAGCAACACTTTCATTGGCCACGGGGCTCGTCCAATCCAGAGTAATAATGGCGAAAAGCACATGAAAAGTCTTCAGTCTCATGTCCACCATTGCAGAGTTCTCTATATCTGAGACAAATAACTTGTTCATTAGCAAACAAGCATCAAATACTTGATCCAAGCACAGTCAAAATTTTGCAATCTTCAGCTTTGAAAGTCACAAGTGAATGTACATGGTATATTTAGAAAGAGACAAGGGAGAAAGAATAAGTGTGAAAATTCAATGTGGATTTCATACATAATCCGAGCATGCAAAAGTATATAAATTTTTTTGTCAAAGCAAACAAACATCAAATATTTGATCCAAGCACAGTCAAAATTTTGCAGTCTTCAGCTTTGAAAGTCATAAGTGAATGTATATGGTATATTTAGAAAGAGATAAGGGAGAAAAGATAAGTGTGAAAATTCAATGTGGGTTTCATACATATTCCGAGCGTGCAAAAGTAAATAATTCAATATAAAATTTTTTATATCAACGTTGTGGAAGAAGAGATTGGCCAAGAGAAAAGGTCACGGAAGAAGAGGGGCTTACATTTCTTGAGCCTGAGATGTCAACGGATATTTACAGCCAGCTTGCTTAGCTGATTCTACTGCAAGATTTAAGTCTTTAGCCTGCATCACATTAACACAAATTTTTGGGGTATCATGTTCAACACCCTAAAAGTCAATTTACAGAATACAAATATATCACCTGCCTATCAAATTTCAAGATAATAAAGAAGAGGAAAAAAAAGTTACTAGCACCCCTTGAAGAGATCAGTTACTGACCATAAGCTTGGACGCAAATCCTCCATGATAATCCCTTGACGAGGGCACCCCTTCCATCACACCAGGAACCGGGTTGTAACTAGCACTGGAATCATACAACTGCTGAATATTAGTTTGAATACCAAAATACCAAATTTTTTCTCCCTGAATGTGTGCGCACATGTGACCTTTCCGGTGAATGTTGAAAGATTTCTGTTCTTGTTATCAGGAGAACAGGGAAAACAAGACAAAAGGGTTGAAATATCCAGAAAATTTCATTTGAGTTGTGAAAGATTTGTATGAAAATCTACTATGATGGCGCTGCTGGTTGTTCATCCAAATTGATCTGCTATGTGAAAAGGGAAGAATACCTACTCCAACAGTGAGCACTGGAGCAGTTAAATATTTTAGTCAAGGTGCTGGCTGACACTCCCAGAGATTGACCCAGAGCTAAGGCTTCTGATATTCCCAGCATGCTCACAGCCAAAGCCAAATTATTACAGATCTTAGCAGCCTAGTAACAAGACCAAGCGGAAACTATAAAATAACATCCCTGTATCTACTGCAGGCTAGTAGAAAAGATATCAATGTAATAATAAGTAAATTTATCCCTTCCTAAAATATCATAACAATTAGACATAATTTCTCAGACTGACAACTTTAGTGATAATTACAGAAAATAACCAATGAATTTTGATAAGATTCATGAAGAAACTTATATAAGCAGCTTTTACAGCCTTGACTTTTTTTTTTTTTTTGAAAATTTTTTTGGGCCAATACATACAGCATTAAAAAATCTGAAGTTCAAGTTCAAGCATTTAACTTACAGAACCACTGCCTGCTCCTCCACAATATATTGCACTTTTACCCATCGAAAGGAACAAGGATTCTGCAGCCAGAAAAGCTTCCTCAGAGCCACCAACCTGAGAAAGATCCATTCCATGCTCATAAACTAGCTTTTCCAAAATGCATTAACTTTGCTTCAATGACTTTAGCACTATTACCCCAAAACACATGCATCTATGTTGATTTTTCCCACAACATGCATCATGTTTGTTTAGCTTATCAAAGTTCTAATATACTATACATATATAGGCATGAAATGACTATAACCAGTGTGCTAAATATGCTGTCCCTAAAAAGAATTAGAAAAAAGAAGGCCCTTAAACAATAGTTTTTGGGATCCGACGATGCATCAAGTTTTATTTTGGTAAATGGATGCATCAAAATTTAGAATTGAATAGTACTCCATACCATAAAAGTTAGTGTTCCTGCTTCCGCAGCAATCACACTTCCAGATACAGGAGCATCCAACTTAACGGGAGTCTTCCAATCACCTGTGCACAATCATTTAGCTCAGCAATGTAAATAATAAAAAGCAGAAGTGAACCAATTCAACATATGAAACTTTAGAAAGTAGTTCATAGACAACGGGAAGACCTCAGGAAACCTGTGCCATCCAGAAAGAAAAATTTACATCATAAAAGAGCCTACTGACCCTTTCTCCAGGAAGACTAACTTTCAAATAATATATTAGCAAATCTAGCTTAAAAGTACCAAATCTGGTATGTCATTGATATCAATTGTATGTCATTAGAATCCACAAAGTAGGAGGCATTCACATTCATGTTTTCCGTACAATTCGTTTTCTGTGTGAATGATAATAAAGTACGGACATAGCCACAAATACTGCCAGAAAATAGACAAACCATTCAGCATGAGAAAAGTTTAATTATGAATAACATGGTAAATAAAATATGTGGAGCAAGAAAAGCATGAAAACAGCTTCAAGGTGAAGTTAAATAAAGATCTACCAGGCCAATATTTCACTAATTATACCTTTCTTTTCTTTTAAAAGACAATTCGAAATTGTAGCAGAAAGACTTCTTGATGATTGTGGATCGATAGAGGATGAATCTATCAATAACCATGGCCTAAGGACTTTCCCAGCTTGAAGCAAACCATTTGGTCCAGTGTAAACATCAATCACCTACTTAATTTGGATGTGTGCTATTCTGGAGTTAGTACTATATCAAAGTTAAGAAGATCAGCAGCAATAAGACAATTTTCCAAACTCGTTATATGTAGCTAAGAAACTTATGTACACAACTTAGTAGCAGATCAGTATTCACATAAACAAGATTTTGCAGTTCGTGGTCTGCTTCAACTAAATAGAGGCCACCATGAATATAAAGCTAAATGGCATTTAAAATATGGAAGTATTGTCCCAAAATAAAGTTGTTTCAGAATTGCAGAGGAAACTGAAGAAGCAAATGGCCCACTGCTTTTGCAGAAAAGGAAATGCCATTGATATGATAGTACTCACGTGGGAAGAAGAAGGCAACATCGTAATCACTACATCACAAGCTTCTGCAACTTCATAAGGTGTTTTCACAATGGGAACTCCCATCTGAGAGAACTTGGTGGCAACATCAGAGTTTCTGCAATATTTTCAAATTAGACAAATGACAAACATCATTAAAAAAAAATAAAAATATTCTCTATAGACCAACAAGGATCGAATATCCTACTTAAATTAACGGCAAGCTTGTGCTTTCCCAGTGACTAGTAAAACAATTCAATAACTATAGAGAATTTAAAAGTTTAAATTAAGTACATGTCTTGAACTGTAACTCTGTATCCCGCTTTAATCAGGTTATTCGCCATCCTGGAACCCATATTTCCGAGACCAATGAATCCAACATTCTGTAATGCATCATTGAGAGGATAAAGATTGAAATTTATAGAATATGCATTCTTGAGTGGAGAAATATCAAAATTTACAGCACATGCGTCATTGATCACAGTTAAGTCCATCACGAATGCTCCAACACCACCACTTTAACACAGTTGCAAAACTATTGATGATCCATCAAACATTTTACAAGCAAAGAAGAAGAAGAAGAAGACTAAAGACAAAAGAATTCCACACAATGACACACGCACAAAATGTCTGTCATCTGAAATCAAACTCGAACTGATAATAAGATGTATCAACTCCGACTTTACATTTATCACTTGAACTGCGACTTATAAATAAAAGCAACACATCGCTCAACTACATTGATTCGAAAAATCATAGCTTTACTGGGCATCAAACATAAAGAGACTGAAAAGAAGAGAAAAGAATTGCGACAATAATAATACCAAGCCCACCAATTTTCTCATACACCCAGTCAAGATCAGCGATTAAAATACAAGCTAAGGTTTGAGAGATCACAAAAGCAGAATAGACATGGTTTAGGTACCTCCAAAAGGGAGGGGATTCGGGAAGAAGCGAATCTGCGTATTGGGAAAGATTGAAGCCCGAGAGACCTGCATTTAGAAAGAGGAACAAGTGATCTCAACCTGCAAATGGCCATCGTTATCCTTCGGAATGCATGCAGACAAAGCTCGCGTTGCCAGTATACCGCAGTGACAAATAATGAGTCAACTTCTTGTCATCCCCCTTCGAATCCCTTCTTATGATCCTCGATTGAAAGAAGCATCGGTTTGGAGTTATCCATGCATGATGATATACAATTTTTTTATATAATTAATTAATAATTAATATCACTGTCAGTTGAGAACTTTAATTTTCAAAATATAGTAGGAAAAGATGGATAAGATCAAAAATCAATAAATAAATGCTGGTAATACCTCACCCTCCTCCACTCGTGATTAGTCTTCGTTCATAGTAATGATTAATACTGCCTCTCATTTTTAATATAAGAGCTAGTTTGATTTTTAATTTGATCATAAATATAAGACTTCAATCTATTTTTTCTCTCTTATTTATCTATTTTTTTCTAAAATAGTTATTGTAATAGCTACACATGTTAAATATTTCATCAAAATGACACTTGATTAGCAGGAATATTTTAGAGAAAACAACACATATTTATTATAAATAACCAACTTAACTGATTTTTTAATCTATTCAAATTAGTCATTTAACTCTTATATTAAAAACCGAAGCTAACTCTTATTTTACCACTGGTCCTTAATATAAAACTATATTTGACTTTTATTTTAGTCCTAAATATAATATCTCAATCCACTTTGTCTCTCATATTTATACATTTTTTTCAAAATAGCCCTTCTAACAATGATAGTTCTAGTCAATACATTTGATTAACAAGGATATTTTGGGAAAGGCAACACCTATTTAGGACAAATAACTAATTCAACTTACTTCCTTAATCTCTTCAAATTGGTCAACTGGCTCTTATAATTAGGACCCGAGGTAGTATTAAAGACCAGAAGTAGTAATAATAATGCTGAGATACAAAATGTTAGTAATTGGCAGACTCCAAACTCTATTGCAATACATCTGTAAAATAATACAAGCAGATTATGGGACAGATCAACTGAAAAAAGGTGTAAATGGTCGTATTTTTTAAAATTTCTTTTACTAATTTTTCAAAAGCGAAAATTCATGCCAAAGCAAGACCGTGATGAGATTGGAATGTGATATTCGAATCGGTAATCAAATCCTAGAATTACTTTTCTATTGGAGGCACAGATGTCGGCTAAACCCATCTAGAATTATTTTTTATGCTTGAATTAAATAGCACGCTTAATGAGTCAATTTTCGAATTCGATGGTTGGATGGAAAAAGCGAATTGCATTGCTGGTAAACAAACAAATAAATAAATAGAATTTATAATAAAAATATTAAGTCATTAATCCAAATAACTACTATGTGATCCGACCAAAGCGGGAAGGGGAAAGGCAACACGTTAGAATGAAACGGCGGGCAAAAAACAAAAGAGAATGAAGTGATCGTTGATATTTCTCCCAATAGAATTGCACTCCGTTTATATGCCAGTATTGTATTATTTTAATGACGATCAGTGTTTCTCCTTTGTTAGTCTCCCTCTGTCTCATTTCTACTTACCAATACTTAGTTATCAAGCATATCAAGCAACCTTTTTTTGCAGAGCAGAGATAAAACTTCCTCGTTAGACTCTACTTAGTTTTTAAAAATTCCTGTTTATGTGGCAGAACCACAAGGCTTAAAGCAAGAGCATGGAGCAAGTATAGTTATGGGTTAGTATATATCTTATTCTTGTATCATTTAATGAATGCCTCGTCTTCTTATTTCTTCTTTCACAAGGAACAAGCATGTCGATGAAACAGCAAGGGGCGTAAGTATGCTATTATTTGTCTTATATCCAACATATTTTCCTTGCATTTAAGCTAATGCTTTTGTTCTTCGGTTCCGCTGGGTTTGTTATAGATACGAGACCTAAAAGAAAGAGACTTGGGGAACCAAGAGGTGTAACAGTTTTCAATAAGTTCGAAGAGAGAGAAAATGACAACTCGGCTAGTTCAGCTAATCCATTAAACCTGGGGGAAGTTGGGAATGGCCGTGGAGAGGTCTCAGAGACTCAGGAAGCTGGTAGAGTTACAACTTTCATCTGTATTAGTATTTGTCTTATCTTCCGGTATACTGGTATCCATTCTTTCATCTCTTCAATGAGAAAGGATTAGTTCTATAATTACCAATTTTTCAGTAGTCGCTTGATTATCCTATTTACAGTTTTGGTCTTTCTAATGATACTCGTATTTCTTCTTTTGTGAGAAAGGATAAGCATTTGTGCACTGCTATGAGACAAAAGCTACTAGCTTTTACATGTAAATCCAGCTTTTCTATTTTGAACTGGATATTTACCTATATGAACAATGCGCTACCACTAGCATGAAATATGTTATTTGCCACCTAGGTTTTTAATTGTTCAATATGCTACTATAGAAGATGATGGCTAGGAGCAACTTTGATTGCCCTACTGCCTTATATGTTTTGTGTTTAAGATGTGGGTACCACGATTGAGAAAAAGAGGCGAGGACGACCAAAAGGATCGATGGGTAAGAAGAGTCAAGGAAGTGCTGATGGAAATTCAGGAACTTCCAAGAATCAATCAAACTTTCAGGAAGTAGCTCATGGTTGTGAAGAGGAGCAGGAGGCAGGTATACTTATGAAGTACCTGCAAATAATTAGTACTCATCTTTTTCTCAGGTTCACTCCCTTCTTTTTTCATGATAGCTTCCCAATATTTATTTGTGCCCAGCGGAGTTGTGATTTCTGGAGGTCCTGGCTGTAATTATTATATCTTATACGTTTCCCCCATCCTTTTGTGTTTCAGATTTATGCGTTGTGCCTAAGAAGAAGGGAAGAGGACGGACAAGAGGGTTGGGGGTAGAGAGGAAGCGCCAAAAGAGTGCAGATGGAAAGTTGGATGTTCTGATTCATCCGACAAAAATGGATGCTGTTTGTCCTGGGCGTAAAGATTTCATTACAGATCTTTCTGTGATTGTTCGGCAGAATGCCCGTCACAATGTTTACAAATGGAAGAAGGTTCCACAGAGTGTAAAGGATACAATAGCGCAAAAGACTCTGGCAAGTTATTCATGCTTCTTTTGGGGATCATAGTTTAACTTGAAATAATGCTATCTTTAGAGTTATCTTTTCTGGTTCTTGTGGATGTTCGTGTCTGCTATCCTGACTAAGTAGTTTCTCTTTTCAAATGCAGAGGGATTGATAAATATCTTCTTGCCGGTTTCAGACATTTTGTTTTTTACGCTATAAATCCTTCTAAGTTTCATTCGTTGCCCGAATCACGATTAGTTTTTTAATGCTCATACTCTATGGAATGCTCTGTCAAAAGATCACTCATGCTTGTGGGCGAAAATCCTTTCATGAAGTCAATCTCAACCTAAGTTGTGCTATTTCTGATGAATCTGTATTTCATTTTCTTATACTGTTTAATATAATTTATTCATCATACACTTTGATAGAGGGACAAGGTGACTGGGAAGGAGCTCGATTTGCGTACACTGTGGCAGTTAACACACAAAAAGGCAAATGGTGAATGTGTTGATAAGACATCTAAAGAGATACATGTATTTAAACCTTAAATAACACTACATTCTGTTTTTAATACAATTGAGTAATGCTTTTCCTTCCCATTCTATGCTCGACTTCTATATATGTTTGATTCATTGTAGGATAAGGTTGCAGAACAAGTTGTTCAGTGTTCTGGGAATGAGATTGCGAGAATTGAACCAGAAATTGTTGAATCTGCCTTCAAGTCACTTGTAGGGAAGAAATCATACATGGGAGGTATAGTATCAGGAAGCTCCACTAGAATTCAAGGTAAACGACAGGCTGAGTTAGAAGCCCAAAAGAAGGAAACAGAGGAGGCTAGAGCAAACTATAATAAGGTCAGAGCGAAGCTAGCTGAGGTTGAGTCGCAACTCATGAGGAACGCAGCGAACGAGGGGAGTTAGAGGTACGTTTACTGGACCGTCAGAGAGAGATGGATGAGATCTACAAGCAGGTTCAGAGAGCCATTCAGGCAGCATTGTCACAGCCAAAACTACTGGTAAGTTTAAAACTTTTAACTGTGTCAACAATTTAATTCGTGTACGCAAGTGTAAGCTGCATGCAAATGCAATGGTGAAATGGAGCAACTTTTAATTGAAGTTTGGAATTCCAATTTTTAACGGCATGAAATTTGCGGTACACTTAACATTTTGTTGTGTTCCTTTCATATTTACATAAACTAGGGAAAACCGTAAGATTATTTTATCAAAGAAAAATTCAGATTTATGCAGCATTGGATTATTTCTCCACTTAAATGCATGAAGTCTATGACATAAGTGTTTCTACATGCTATCTACCTGCCACTCTTAACAACAGATGACTGAAGAAGGGGATTCATCAAAGATGAAGGAGCTTGAAGCACAACTTCGTGAAGCACAAGGTGTGATAACACAACTTAGAGGAAACTCACGTAGGCTTGGCATGCGTTAGGAAGGCGAAAAGTCACGTTATCCTCTGTGTAAATATGAGCAGTCCTAGGGAGATTGACAAAAGAATGTGTGATAGAAAATATGGCAAGACTTACTAGAGAATAAATTACGTTTTAATTTATTTTATTTTTACAGGTGAATCGAGCAAGTGTAACTGGATGTTTCCTTCATGGCTAAGAATCCTCAACCTATATGTATCTGTGTGTGTGTGTTTTCCTTCTATATTTAATACTCCTCCGGTCCTTATTATAAGACCCAATTTGACTTTTTATTTGGTCCTAATTATAAGAGTCAATCCATTTTCTCTCTTATATTTATGTATTTTTTTCCAAGATAATCCTTCTAATAATGATAGTTTTAGCCAATATACTTAATTAGCAAGGATATTTTAGGAATGACAACACTTATTTATTATAAATAACCAACTTAACTTACTTCCTTAATCTCCTCAAATAAGTCAATTGGGTCTTATAATTAGGACCGGAGGAGTAGATTTTGATGGATGATTGTGCTGCTTAGGAGACTCAGCTAGCTCTTTTGCCCGGTTCTTTCATTCTGATCCCCCCTCATTTCTGTTATTCAATTTCCATCTTTTGACCCTATAACTCTCTTATTTACATAAGAGGATTACTCTGATACCAAACTAATGTAATATAATTTTGGTTAAAAAAAACTAATGTAATATAATACTGAAAAAATGTTATTAATAAACGATAAATTCTATTTGGCCAAACAAAACAATAAATTATATACCTCTTTCTTCAATAAAATGTTGAAAAAATGTATTTAGTTAGAATAATTAGATGAAATTGGCAGAATTGGAAGTCTTCTCTGAGAAGAAAAGGGAGAATAAGGGCTATCTGATTTTATGTCCATTTTTTTTAATAAAAAATCTATTAAAATAATTTTAACATTGTATTTTTGAGAATAAAATAAACATAAAATATGTGGCAATATTAATTTGAAAACATTTTTAGAATTTAGAAATAACAACAAAGAATGAGCAGCAATCCAGAGGAATGAAAAGCTGATATAGGATGAGGTGATTTTGAAAATCTTGTTGTAAATAATTATAACTTTAATATTAATAAAAAGGGGGAAAATTTTTCATCTAAAAATCTTCCTAAAGTTTAAAAAAGAAAACAAAAAACAAACCAAGTTATTTCCATTTTTTGTTTTTAAGAATAAAAAAAAAGAATGCTTTTAAAAATTAGATGAAAGGAAAATACTAAATAAACCCAATTTAAAAGTAAATTCTAAATTTTTTAACTAAATTGTATGAAGTCAAAAGAAAATTGCATGTTGACGCCAAAAAGAAAAAGAAAATTGCATTAATATGCGAGTCACAGTCAAAAGAGGCTTGACATGACGGCAGTGAAGTCAATTAAAAACAAACTTGGGGAGGAAGGGGATCAAACTTAAGCAGGAAGGTGGGAGAAGCGGCAGCACGATCCGTTAGTGACTGTGAACTCATTTCTTGGAATGGAATATTGGGCAGTGTGCGTCCGTTTCGTGCCCAACAGCCCACCCAACATCCCAAAAACCCCTCCAAAACCTCTTCCTTTCTCCCAATAAAGCTATAAACTTTCCTCTTCCTCTTGCTTCCTAATTGATTCCATTTCATGAAATCACAATCCTTCCTTTCCAAATTCCAAGCTTTCTCATTATACCTGATCTTCTAAAGCTTCTCTCTCTGTGTTTTCCTGCGTCCATCGTGGATTTGGTTAACGTAACCAAGGTACCATCGCTGCTATTTTTCATTTTAATTTTTATGCGATGTCGTCGTCGTCGTCTTTTCTTCTGCTTCGGAGGGGCTTTCGTGCATTGAACTTGCTCCTAATTTTTCGCTTCCAATTATTGGGCCATTTTAATCTTTCTCACGTTTCTCTGGATGGTTTCCCGGCTATTGCATTATTGGCTTTTGGTGTTCTCCCAGTTCCTCAGTGATTCTAAAAGGAGGAAAATTTGGAATTTCGATAATGTCATTGGGACCCGTGAAGGCTCTTAACGTTACTGGGTGTAGATAAATGATTCGTGAACTTATCTTCTGTTTTTCTCCGTTCCTTTACTGCCAAAACATTTGGGGCTAGGATTATCGTTTCCCCTTCTAAATTGCGATAATATTTCCTCTATTCTGTCTATGATTTTTATCGTCTTTTTATGTTTCACAGTCAAGTCCATATCTACTGAATTGTAGTGCTAGTATTGCTGTTCATGCTGTTTATGTAGATAGTGTTGCTACAATATGGCAGTCATTTGTTCTTTGTACTTATTTTTCCCATTAGACATGTAAAATCTACTAGCATATCTGAGGAACTTAGGTCACTGTGTAATTGTCTATTTAAAAATCCTTTGGTTGTGGCACCTTCTTGTTTATAAATTTGGCTTGTTATTTCTTAAGGATTTAAAATATTCGATTTTCAATGTGGATAACAACGTTTAGAAATTGCTGAAAAGCTTTGCTTTTACAAGTATTATTACAAGTAAGATTTCAGAATATTACTAAAATTAAATTAAAACCTTATGCATTCCTGTGATCCTTCCGCTGGCTTTTCATGAAAATAGGAAGCTGTATTTGTCATTTACTCTGTTGAAGCTAATAGGTAGTTATCACTTATTATTACTATTATTATTACTTTTTAGGCGTAATAGTAATGACATAATGTTAACCTGACAGTTTCAAATTTTAATAATGTAGGATGGATGGGCATTTGATCATTGTTTTCCAAGAGTAGATTATGCTCAGATCTTTACAATGGAAACAAAAGGGCATCCTGCTGTTGAATTAAAGAAAACAACCCTTACACCTAAGGCTATAATACACCAAAAATTTGGCAGCAAGGCCTGCTTCACAGTAGAGGAAGTAAAGGAGCCTATTCACACTGAGTGTCCTGGATTAATTCAACAAAAGGGTCCTTGCCTGTATCGATGTTTGTTGCAGCTTCCAGAACTTTCTGTTGTGTCAGGGACCTTTAGAAAAAAGAAGGACGCAGAGCAATCGGCTGCGGAGATGGCTTTAGAAAAGGTTTGACTTAGTTAATTGTCCTTTCTATTAAAAGTAGATTTGTATACATTTACCATAATTTGTAATTCACTTGCGTTTTCTCCTAGGACTATAACTTTACTGCTAGATATGGCCTCATCCAGCTTTCTCTTAAAATTATATGTCTCTTTAAACATTCGCTTTATGATCAAGGAAGGAGAGGTAAAACCTGTATATTAATTCTTTACCCCAAACTGATTTCTTGTAAGGAGCTTGGGCTTGGATAGTTCTATTTTTTATATTTCTTTTGATGCTTCTGGGATAGAGGTCTTAAGGCTGAGTTGCATTAGCCATGAGGATTTGAAGCTGACTATTTTTCGTTTTGAGAGAAAATCTGTGGTTGATTGTCTGATTTTGCCTTGTTATGATTTTATTCTGATACCATTTATTTGGTAAGTTTGCTTGATATTACTAATAGTTTTCTCTTAAGCTTTTATAATTTTTTACTTTCATCCAAGAATTGGCCTGGCAACCTTGGCTATAAATATGTTGCCATGATAATAATTTGGCTGTTTGATACTCTGATGCAGCTTGGCATCCATCCTACGGCCAGTGATCTCACTCCACAAGAAGCATGGGAAAGTTTAGTTGCTCGAATCGCATACTTATTTTCAGAAAAGGCAGGCATTCTGATTGGTCTTTCATCTGATTTGTGTAAAAAGTCATGTCTACTGTCAATAATCAAAGATAGGAATGCTTATATTCGTTGGCCACAATGATGATAAATTAATGAATAGGGAATTGAATGGATTTGATTGATTTTATGTTGTTGCAGTTATATCTTTTGCTGAATTGTGCTTCAGTCTAAGCCCATTCTTTGTTGCCTTTCAACACTGCAGTTTCTTACATCACTTCATCCACTCTGTGGTCACCTTGGAGCAACTTTGTGGAGAAAAGGTGATCTCTGTGGGTCAATTCCTGTTTCTGTCATTGCTGTCTATGACACAAAGCTCTTTAACTTGTGTAAATATATTAATCCTGCGGTGGAGTCAAATCCATTGTTGGTTAATTTGTACATAATGAGGGCCGCTACAAAGTTATCTGGATTTCTTTCTACTTCTGAACAGCATCTCTGGCTTAAAAAGCAGAGTCCCTATCCCCAGGATATTAGTGAGTCATTAAGTATTCAAGCTGGCATGCTAGAGTGCATTCAAGTTGCAGCTGCTAAAATTCCTAGTTCAACGGAGAAACCTATCGAAACAGTGACTCTTTGGATTTCTGCAAAAGACTACTACCTAGATATCATTGCAAAAGAACTTGATTTAGAAGATGCATCTTATGTTCTGATTTCAAGGTAGGGTAAAACTCGGGTCCCTCTCATCATCATCATTTTAGTTGGTTATTGTCTAACTTGTTGTTTCTGGCAGAAATGTGGGTAAAGCATCTTCTGAAACAAGATTATTTTTTGCTGCATCGAGATCATTTTGTCTAGATCAATCTTCTGATTTGCTGAATGTGAAGGAAACTCTACATTTTGAGGGATCTCTAAATGCAAGGGCTAGTTACTTGTCTGGACAATGTATATTTGGTGATGCAATATTGGCATCCATTGGATATACATGGAAATCTAAAGATCTTTCTTATGAAGACATAACAGTTCAGTCATATTACAGGTATCTTGACCTTCAGATGCATCTTGTTAGCTTGAGAGATCAGAACAAATTGAACGTGTCAATATGTCCTGCACATTTGTTTTAATGTGATGGTCAACTCAAATGTTTTCAGAAAAACTGGAACAGACTCTTGTTAGTTATTTCATTGAAGTGGGGGAAAAGATTCTCCTCAACTCCTAAGTTATGTGCTCGTACTTAGGCATATCTATGTGGGTTCGAATGGCTTATTTTATATGCTTAAAATGCTGATGGTGCCGTCTAGCTATTTCTGACGTATGTATGAAGCAAAACTTCTTGCCCTGTGATTTTGCAGGATTGAAATTCTCTTTGTTAAAGATATTAATTAAAACCAATCCTTGGCTCTCACATAATATTTTAAGCCATATTTATTGAAACCTAACTAGTTACTAGTGATGAAAGCTGATATCTTTCATGATTATCCTTAAGAGTTTGTGTCTTCTTCTGTCTTTAACTTAACGTATATTTTAACCCATTTTGTCATGTGAATTTTGCACATCTCAATCCTTATTCACTGAATAATTGTGCATGATTAACTAACTTCAACGTTTAATCATTACTACATTGCTATCACAGGATGCTTATAAGTAAGACACCAAGTGGGATCTATAAATTGTCCAGAGAAGCAATATTTGCCGCTGAGTTGCCCTCATCATTTACAACAAAAGCAAACTGGAGGGGTTCCCTTCCCAGAGATATCCTTTATATGTTCTGTCGTCAGCACCGTCTACTTGAACCTGTCTTCTCCCCCATAAGCTGTCCTTTGAAAGGATCATCTGAATCATCAGGATCTTCCTTGAAGGATGCGTGCTCAGCTACAGAAGAGATTGAACATGTCAGAGGAGCCTTGTCAACAGCAGGTGCAAAGCAATCAGAAGTGTCAGGATGCACATTTAAATGTGATGTTAAATTATTTTCTAAGTCTGAGGATTTAATTATTGTTTGTTCCCCGGAGGGCAAGTTTAAGAAACAGAATGATGCCTTACAGAATGCTTGTTTGAAGATTCTATCATGGCTAAATGAGTATTTTAAGAACAGTAGCGCTCCTTTTGAGATTTTATATCATACTGCAGACAGCTTCAATATTCAGATTCATTCAAAAAACCATTGTAAAGAGTTTGCTGTATGTCAATCGGTACGAAATACTCAGCTTAATATGCTTGGATGCATGCGTCCATTGTGTACTGGACCTGCATATGGAATGCGCTCTTTAAAGATTGAAGGGTCAGATTCTGGTGTTTGTCCATGCAATGGATCTATACCATGTATAAGGTATTCTATTTCTTTGGTTGTAAAGGGTGATAATCTGAAAGAACTTATTGAAGCTTGTGAAGAATTTGAGTTTGAGATAGGGGTTGGTGCTGTGACAACAGATGTTGAGGGGGTTGTGATGCAGTTGTGTGTTGGCCAGTCTGCTTGTTTTACCACAGAGTTACCTCCTTCCGAATTGATTCTAGCTTCAGCGGCTGATTCAGCCAGAACTCTTTCTTTGTTGTCTTCTAGTAAGTCAATTTCTCCTGTTATTAATATCTTGACGGTTTTCTAAATCATGATATGGTTCAATTGACCTAAAACTAAATGCTTTTAAGATGTTGAACTTGCAAAGTGGACAGGACTTGCTCCTAAAAAATGATTGGATTGAAGTTGCTTATTTTGTCAGTTATTTTATACTCCTTTTTTTTTTTTTTTAACCAGAACCCTGCTTCATGGAATATGCAATAGCTTTGACCAAGTTAACAGAACCCATGGAGGAAAGGATGGAACAAGCTCTTTTTAGCCCTCCACTTTCAAAGCAAAGGGTGGAGTTTGCAGTGCATCACATTATAGAATCGTGTGCTGCAACTCTGGTAGACATAAATTTCTTATCTTCTCATCTTTATGGTTTATCTAAAACTTGAGTTTAATATTCTCCTGGGTGATAGGTTGATTTTGGATGTGGAGCTGGAAGTTTGCTGGAAGCATTGTTAAATTATCCTACTTCCCTGGAAAAAATTGTTGGTGTTGATATTTCACCAAAAGGTCTTGCTCGGGCTGCTAAGGTATTAAGTACGTTGTCATATCATGGAGTTATCATCTTCTTTTGGTACAGTAAAATAATAACACCTTGTGATATATCTCATGCTATAATTTAGTGAAAGTTGTAACGTTATTCAACCATGCAGAATTTGATTATGATTTTATTGTACCCACTATCCCTTTCCCTTTTGGGAAGTTAAGCTCTTAGGTTCTTATGATAGCTATGAATCCTGCAGGTTCTTAATTCAAAATTAGTTACAAACTCAGATGTTGATGATGTGCCATATGCTGGGATCAAATCTGTTATTCTTTATGAAGGTTCAATTACAAGTTTTGATTCCAGGTTGCATGGATTTGATATTGGCACTTGCTTAGAGGTGCTCCCTTCCCCGTTTTACTTTTTACTGGATTGACTTGTACATCCAAATTTAAAGATACCCTTTATAACATAAATTCTTCTCTTCTATTTATGCTCTGTCACTCGTCTCATCTATGTCTGTTGGTTTAACTGTTATTGATCCTAGGATATATTCTTTATTATCTCCTGCTTCTTATACTAGCACTTGAACCCAGGACCCCAGCATTATACCTTGAAGACTGAGACCAAATATGCTAGTTATGCTCTTTATTATCTTTGTTAGATAATTTGTCAATATTCAACCTGTTTCAATAAGTGGGGATCAATAGGAAGCAATCTGCTAAAGGTTTCGACTCTGGACTGAGGAAAATTGCAATAAGGAAATATGCAAATCGTGACAGCTTCCGAGTTTACTTCTTTCTGCATCTACTTGCTTGCATTTGTATTCTAGTAACTCTAGACTGGTAGAGATTTGATTGATTGTCAATAGTGGGATCTGATCTTTCTTTATCCGGTGTGGGAGACAAAATTCAAGTTTACCACTAGGCATGTTCTGTAATATCTTATTACCAACTCGGAGTATCCTTGTTGCCATTTAAATTTAAATTAAACCATGTATTATGTAAGTACTGCTTGTTGATCTGCTTGTTTTAGACGTATGATTTTTTCCCCCTGTGGAAATTGTGATTGGCCTGAAATTTATACAAATCATTGGTGAAATTGTAGGTCATTGAGCATATGGAAGAAGACCAAGCATGTCTATTTGGTGATGTTGTATTAAGTTCTTTTCGTCCAAGGATTCTCATCATTTCAACGCCAAATTATGAATACAATGTAGTGCTTCAGCGGTCTAATCCAGCAAGCCAGGAACAGGAAGAGGAGTTGGATGAAAAATCCTCGTTACCGTCATGTAGATTTCGCAATCATGACCACAAATTTGAGTGGACTAGAGAGCAATTCAGTCGCTGGGCATCTGATTTAGCTGCACGGCATAATTACAATGTGGAGTTCAGTGGGGTTGGTGGGACAGCTGGTGTTGAACCAGGCTTTGCCTCACAGATTGCTGTATTTATTAGAAAAGAAACTATGGCTGAAGTAGATGATGAACTGAAGGATGCTGATTTAGATCACCGATTCAATGTTATGTGGGAATGGAATAGAATCAACAAATGAAATATTTTTGGACTTTACGCTGAAACTTGTACAGTTTACTCAACTGCTGTGAACTGAGTAAAAAAAGTGGAGCAAACGAGAATAACGATGACGGGGAGGATTTGGATTCTGGATTATTTATATTTATTTGGTTTCAAATGATTCTTCTAAAAGAAGAGGGATGTTATGTGTATCCTGATCTATGGGGATTGGGCATAGCTAATCATATAATTTAATAATTTTGTTGGTGCAAAATATTTAACTTGAGTACTTGACAGAACACTGTTCCTAATGCTGGAAAATGACACAATGACTGACATTAAAAAATTGAACACTTTCTATGTTTTTCTTTTTTGTTTTTTTGGGTAAAAGGACGAAATGATATTAAAATTAAAAGGGTTACAAAGTTCCAAACGATAACAGCCTGCAAGTTTTGTAAGAAAATTTTAAAAATAAAGGAAGGTAAACTACTCTAGATTTATAGCTTTTAACATGAGATAAAAAGAAAAAGATATCCTTCCAGACTAGATTAGCAGAGTGAGGAGGCTTGGGTGAAATTTTAATGAAACATTTTTGCACGCAACTCATAGTTAATGACTACAGTTTCTAATGCACAAACATTTGAGAATTTTGAATTCAAAGAAGGGAAGCTCTGAAACATAATAAAAAAAAAATCTGACCGTTGTAATTTTTGATTCTCCATAAAAGTTCTTATAATGATGATATGTTAGAGCATATAATTCCATGACAATGAGTGATTCTGGGTCTTGAATTTATAGAGAATGATAGCCCAACCTTCATTGTTTGGGAAGTTATAACTCAAGACAGATTGTACATGAGATTGGCAGCTATCAACATTAGCCTGAGGAGAAAATGCTAATTGAAAGAGAGTGTGTATGCCTTGTATCTCTTTGATAGTAGCTATCAAAGATATCTTCTTCCCTTGCCATAGAATTATCTTCTTTCCAAATGAATTTCTAGAAATCATCTAGAACCGTATTATCAGTATTAATTAAAAAAGATGCTTCATCTTTTACCTTACAGATCCCCATAGAATTTTTTTGCCATGCCAGTTTATTCGAAATATCTATGAATGAGAGAGGAGTTGACAGAATGGCTGAAGTTGAGGAACTGGGAGAAAGTTGATAAACTCAGGATGAGTTCCACTCAACATTACTCTAAAGTCCAATTTGGTACGAAACATTAAACTAAGATTGAGATTGAAATTGTAATTGAAAAAAATCATTAAAATAATATTGAATATGAGTAATTGCTTATTATATAGAATTAGGCAAACTCATAGAGGTAGGATTGGAGAATACCACTTCCCCTCATGATATTCTCCAATCCCACATACATGGGTTTGGCTAATCCCATATAACAAACAATCTCTTATATTAAATACTCTTTTAATAGATTTTCTCAATCACAATCCTAATCATAATCTCTTATTTTCAATACTTCCTACCAAACGTAACCTAAAAAGAATTGCCATGCACTAAAAGATCAGCTACATATCGAATATTTGATGTGACAGCTAGATCTTGTTGCATTGGCCACCACAACTGATGGTTCATAGGAATGGAAAGGCCATTTCCAACTCTCCACTTCAGTTTGGATATTATAAGTCCTGCATTCTCAGAAATACTCTTCCATATCCATGATGCATTGTAAGGTGTCTTAATCAAATTAGTGACATCAATATATTTGATTTTCAAGGAAGATTCTAATAGTGAAGGCTCTTCAGATGTTAAAACTCTCCAAACTTTCCTAGCAAGAAGGGCCCTATTCATGACTGCCGCGGGTCTCAATCCTAGGCCTCCTTGCTCCACTGGTTTAAGAATTTCCCCTTTTCTAAGAAGATGCGCCTTGTTCTTGATATTTGTTGATCTCCAAAAGAAATTGATGCAACAAGGGTCAATTTGTTCACAGATGTGTTTTGGTAGCTTGATGCCAGAAAAAACATGTATATTTATATCTGCCAGCGCCAACTTGATGAGCGCAAGTCTAGAGGTCTGGGATAGAAGTTTTGTCTGCCAATGGGCAATTTTATATCTCACTGCGTTTAACACTCGAGAGGAGATTTGAGTCTTTCTTTTGCCTGGATCTATCCAAGTTCCTAGGCATTTTCCCAATTTAGAATCAAATCTGAATCCAAGAAATTTAGACCGCATACTTTAGCATTGCGAGGCATATTCTCAGTAATATTTGTAGTTTACAAATAATAAATATTTATGTAATATTTGTAAAGAATATTTTTTCCTCATCCTATATTAATAATTGTGTTGATTTGCAGCATATTAAATGTTTATTTAGTTTATCTTTATATTTAATATGTATTTTTGGTAAAACCAAAGTTTTTTCCTCAATCATTTTTGTCGGTGAATTCTTTGCACCTAAAAACCTTCCTCAAAATTAGATTCGCCTTAAATTTTCTAATTATAAAAGATAACCTAGTTATATATAACTCGTAAAATCTACAGAAACTTAAATTTTGGGTTATGAAAGGTGACCTAGTTATACCTAGCCTACAGAAACTTAGAAGTCTTGGCAAGAGAAAATCGTAAACATAATTCCAAAAATATTTGTTTAAAGGAAAACATTAATTGATCATATGATTAAGTTCAATCTAAAATTGCAACATACATAAAGTCCCAAAATCGTATTTAATTGAACGTTTGGTATTAAAGTGTGATTTATTTATTACACCAAAATAGTTTAAGCCAATTGGTAGAAATCACTTTCTGGTTTTACAAAAATTGGTAGTAGCAAACTTTACGCTTATATATTTTCTTATTTAGGCATCAAATGTGTGACTTTGATGTGTTATCTAACAATTGATCTATGAATATAGTCCCTAAATAACAATGGTAGGCCGAGCCATGTCATATTAATTTGTTCAAACAAAACTGCACTGCACAGGTATAACTGTTAGATATCACCAGTAATCCTTGCAAGAACAAGTTCCATCCTGAAAATGATGAAAGCGAGTTCGATCTCTAACTATAATAGTCGTCTGATAAATAGTCGATATCAGCTTAGTGCTAGCATGACAGTCCTCACAAACCCGAAGGTTTTCAATATTCTTATAGGAGAACTTGAATCTGATGTTGCTAAAAGAGCAAATGCTATCGCTAGCCTTTCACTATGGTAAGAAAGAGCATCTTCCTTGTCTTCTTCTTCCATGTCGAACAAAACTTGAGATGTTCTTGGTTTGTGACCATATTCTTGTAGCCTTCTGTTTATCTCCTCAATCTTCAAATATATCTCCTTAGAAAATGGATGAGTTTTATCACATGTGAGAAACTTGTGCATGGCCCGCCGCAATCTCAACTAAGCTAAATCCAGGAATTTTGTTAACCCCTTGATGTTTCATTAGAGTTCTCACTCTCTTCACGTCATCCCACCTATTGAAATTAGCATACATATTGGACAGAAGCACATAGTTTCCACTAGTTTCTGTTCTAATTGCATCAAGTGTTTGAGTGCAACTTCACCTATCTCTATATTTCCATGAAGTCTTGCTGCCCCAAGTAAAGCCCTCCACATTATTGCATTTGGCTTTACGGGCATTTTCCCCACATATTCTCTGCCTCTTTTAGACGTCCTGCTCGACCAAGAAGATCAACTAGGCAGCCGTAATGCTCAAGCTTTGGCTCGATACCGTGAGCCTTCTTCATGGACTCAAATATTTTACAGCCTTCCTCCACCAATCCAACATGAGAACAAGCAAACAAAGTAACTACAATGGTTGCACTACTGTCAGGAGCTAAACCCTCGGGCTTCATCTTTTCATAAAGTTCAAGTGCCTGATGCCCTTGACCATGAGCCGCAAACCCACCAATCATAGCATTATAACAAAATGTGTCCCTTTCAGGCATTTATCAAACACCTGATAGGCAAGGTTCACGAATCCACATTTGGAATACAAGTCAACTAATGCAGTACCCACAAATCGGTTGACCACAATATTGTTCCTTAAGACATAAGCATGTGCCCACCACCTTGCTAAGAGAGCACCTAAATTAGAACAAGCTCCAATTAAAGCCACAAGTGTAACTTCATTAGGCCGTATTTGAGACTCCTGCATCTCACTGAACCCATGCAGCACCTCTAAATACATATCAGCATCTTCAAAACTAGCACTACGTGTAAGCAGCTAATAAAGTATTCCACATGGCCAGGTCAGGTTCACTGATTTGATTGAACAGATACCTACACTGGCTTATTTGCCGGCTAGCATAGAAACATTGACCAGAGAGGCTGGACAAAGTGATCAGAGGGGGGGGCTCAACTCAAGAACTTGAAGACTATGGTATGGAGGGGATGGCCATAATGGAGCCATCCGTCAGAGGCACAGGCCTTGAAGAGGGATGGAAAAGTGAAACTATTGGGTCTTAGGGTGGTTTATTACGGAGGAGTATTTGATTATAAAGTGAGAAGGCTATGTGGGCATGTTCACTATGATAATTGTGAGGGAAGAAATGAGAGTGTTAAAGAGGAAGATTGTTGGATTTGGGATGTTTCTGAAGATGTGAAGAGCATAGGTTAAGGAAAGCTTGGAGATTGAATGAGAAAGACGACTGAGAGCGTATGTGTGGAGGGCGAGACCAATTGTGAGCATATGGGCATGAACTTGCTTTAAAGTGGCAAGAGTATGGCATCTTTCTAGGATTTGTAGAGTTGGGTGGCTGAAAATGGGGTTTTGGGTTTTCATGGGAAGGGGTTGTGTAAGCTTCAGATGAATGGATTTCCTCTTTTTAATGAGCTCTCCCTGCAGGAGAATGGAGAAACGAACCTGCATATGAAAATAATATGGATACTGGTAACTTGTTTGCATACAATAGCTCGATGCAAATTTTCATACACTTCATAAATCAGCAGTGCTTCGGTCGCCCTGCGCATCCAATCAATTTCATTAGTTTACTTCTTTAATACCGGGTTCTAATTATAAGAGTTAGTTGACTAATTTGAAGAGATTAAGAAAAGAAATTAAGTTAGTTATTTGTAAAATAGGTGTTATCTTTCCTAAATATCCTTACTAATCAAGTGTATTAGCTAGAACTACTATTGTTAAAAAGACTACATTGAAAAAAATATATAAATATGAAAGACAAAGTGGATTGGAGTCTTATATTTAGGATCAAAATAAAAGTCAAATAAAGTC